TGGCTGGTCAGCCACATCCAAGCCCCTCAGGATCCTCTGGAGAAAGGGCAGATGCTCCGAACAGGCCCGGGCCACATGGGTCAAGAGAGACAGGAGGTCAGTTGTGAGTGTGAGGTTGTCTGAGAACAAGGCAGATTTGAAAAAGGCAATGACATGCTCCGAGGTGGCAGCTTCCCTCACCACTTGGTCTATGACCTGAGTGTCAGACACAACGAGGTGGCACAGGAGGCTCATAGGGAGCTCCGTGAATGAGAAGGGCAGATGGCGAGAGCAGACCTAAGGAGAAAGGAAAGACAGCAGTGCTGAGTGCGCTGCACTTGTGTGAGCTGAGCCAAGCCAAGCAACAGCTGAAGGTGGCCAGCAGGTCAGTGCAGGCCAACCTGTTCTGAGGGTTGCATGGCACCCAAGTGACATCCCTGTGTGGGCAGAAACTGACACCATGGTATGAAGTGGTGCCACACATTGGGGGCTCCAACGTGGGGAGGTGTCTCCACAGTATGGGGGAGAAGAAAAACACAGTGCCAAGAAGATACCTGCAGCAGCTGGGCAGGGATCTGGGTGTCTCTCATAGCCTCCATGATCAGTGCTAAGGTGTCTCTATCCACATCCAGGGCAAAAGGGAAACAGAGGAGCTGGCAGGCCTGGATGACCACAGCTGGGACAACCTCAGGGTCCTCTCCTGCTTGCCTGAATTTGTTAGAGAGAGAGAGAGGGTTTAATACAGAGGTAATCAGAAAAACGACAGGGCAAGAGGCAGAGGGCATCCCCCACACCAGGCACTAAGGAGAGGTTCTGCAAGTGCCAGGTCAGGAGCTTCTCTGTCCTTGGCTTGCCTATGTCCAAGCCCCATTCAGTAGGTGAGCTCTGCCCACTTCAGCTCTTGCCACAACTCACGTCTGTGCCAGGCATTCCAGGAAGCTGGGGGACAGCAGTCTCTTCAGGGTCACCATGAGGACACCACGGGACTGGGTGAGCTGAGGCAGGCACTGGTGCGACTCACGAGTGAAGATGCAGAGGGCCAGGCTGAGGAAGAGCAGGGTGCCTGCAGGGAGAACAGGCAGAGATGCAAAGCTAGGAAGGCTGAAAAGTCTCCTCTCTTGTGTCTATACTGCCTCAAGGCTGCTCCACAGTTACTTCTGTGCTTCCCTGCCCGAAACCAAAAAAATCTCCACCCCAGTGGTCACATCTGCCAGGGTGAATGTTCCCTGCAGCACAGATACCCTTTTTGTTCCTGCACAGCCAGCTCAGCTGAGCTGCTGCCAACTGGGCACAGCATGGGCCAGCCAAGTCCTCTCTCCCCAGAGGACAATTTGCAATCCTCAAGAAAAGCCACCTGGGCCCTCTGGCCTCAGGGAACAGATGCAGACAGGGACAGACATGGGCAAGTCTGAGAGCAGGATGTGGAGCAGGGTCCAGGGCGGATGTCCTGCTGTCCTGCAGCTCCTACCTTGAGGGGAAAGGAGGTTCCAGTCTGGCTCTGCCATGGGGTGGCCTGCCCCTGGGGGCTCTCCCTCCAGCGCTGCCCTGTCACTGCCCACTTGAAGCACCACAGCAACACAATGCCAGACCAGGCTCCACAGCTCTGAGGAGGCAAAGCCCTGCTCCATGGCCACATCCTCCTAGAGTTAGAGGCAGATATCATGGTCCCTTATGGCCCCCCATGTGGTTCTGGTCCATGGCTCTGCCAGCCCCTTGGTCCTGGGAAGGTCAGGGCTGGATGGCCATGGCCCAGGGGCCCTGCTGTACCTGCCAACAGTGTCAGTCCCAGGGCATCTCTGCCTTCTTTCTCCAGTGTGCCCATGGATCATCCCTCCCTGCCTACCACTCTCCCATCAACTCTTCAGAGACATTAGGTGACTTTCATGGGGTTGCACAGCTCAGCCAAAGCTCCACAGTTCTCTGGCTTGCCTCAACCTCATTACCAATCCACATTCAGGTCTTTTTGACACACCACCTTTTGGCAGGGACCAGGCAAAGGAAGATGGGCAGACTGGTACCTGAGCAAGGAGTTTCAGCAGGAGGAAAAAGAGCCCATCATAGAGACCAGCACCCATTGGCAGGGGGAGCTGCAGCTGTAAGAGAGTGGGGGACAAGCTGGATCTGGGTGCTGGATCTGAGGGCAGCAGCACCACACCTGCACCCTTCTGAGCCCATCTTTGCACACCTCCACAGTGGGGTGTGCATGGCTCCCCAGCTTCTTTGTCCCCATCCCATACCTTAGCAGGTGTTGTCAGCGCATTTGTCACCACTGGTAGGACCTCTTCTCCCTTGAGCTCCAAGGCCACCCCATGCTGATTGAGTTGTGCCAGGAGGAATGCTGCAGCACCCTGTGGGACAGGGAGAGCTCAGCACCTTTGTGACTTTCCCATCTACTTGGTCAGTACTGACCCTTCATCCCACGGCCTCATCCCACCCTGAGTGAGGAATGGTGAGACCCAAATGTGATGTAGGGCTCTGCAGGGCTCTCAGTGGTGGCTCTGGTATGGGGGGCAGCTTACCACAAGGCAATCACCAACAGGAGATTGCGTGATGAGATCCACAGCCAAGGTAACCACCTCCTGAAGCCTAAAACACAGGGACCAGGAGAAAAGGGCTATGTTCCCACAGCTTCACACAGTGCAGAGCAGCAGCATTCAAACACCCCCAGGGCTTGGAAGCAGCCATCTTCGAGGAGGAGCTCTGGTTCACAGCACCTCTTTGTCCACACTGGGTCCTCTCACTGCATCCCCAACACCCACCCACACTGCCCAGCACTCTGCTGATGTGTCCGGATTGGAGGGATCAGTGGAAGCAGGATCCCAGCTCTGGGCAGAGTGAGAGACAGAGGGCTATTGAGGGCAGGGCATGTTCCTCTCCCACCCATGAGTGAAAGCAGGTGCTTACCTGGGAGGGGAAGCCTGAAAGTGCAGAGTGAGCAGGGCTAGCAGGCACACAGAGGCCTCACAGGCTGCCTCCTGGGCCACCTCCACCGAGGGGACCTGCCAAGGGAGCAGGAGTCACAGTGGAACACCAAGGGTACAAGGGGAGGAGGGGATGTTTTTGGGCCCTGGAGGAGAACTGCACTCTCCTAAACTCTTCTCCCCACACTACAGTGGTGCAAACTGTGCTCGGAGGAATGTGTCCTGCTTGCCCACACTCCTACCCCACCACCCCACCAGGCTGTGGTCAGTCCTACCTCACCCTTCAAGAGCTGCATGAGGAAACCCCACAGCCGTTGGCTCCTTCCCAGGTGCTGGCACAGGCTTGGGTGGGCATGGCAGCCAGCATAGAGGATCTGTGAGGCAGAGGGGAGAAATGCATACCAACCCCTGGGGACAGGAACAAAGTGACCAGGCCCACTCCAGTCATATCCCATGGCTACCATGGGCTCATTTATTCAACAACTGACATCAGGCAGATGGGAGTCATTAAGGCCTGAGCCCACAGTTCCCCCTTCCCCATACTCCTAATTCCAGAGCCAAGGTGTCTCTGGGCACAGCCAGATAAAAGGATGGGGCCATTACCTTCAGTACATTCAAGGAGCAGCTTGAGTGCTCCAGTCTTCCCAGCAGTTTCCCAAGCTGCTGGCTCTCTCCTTCCATAAGCTTTTCAGCTACTGCCTGAGCGACCTGCAGAAATCACCCTGTTTTGCACCCTAGGCACCTGAAGCACTGCACAGACTTAAGGGGTTTAATGCTAGCAACAAATTAATGAAAGAAGGCATTTGCTTCCTATGTGTTGCTTGTGTTCACAAAGGGATCCCCACCTGCCATAACCCAGTACGGCTTTGATGCACAGTCCCAGAGCTAAGCAAGGTGAGATTCTTCCTCTGCTTCCCTCCTTGTTGACTCAGAGTTGAGGTAAAGAATCAAATATTAATCTGTAGTTGTTTTCCCTCTTATTGTCCATTCAATTTCAGATTTCCTACAGTTTATATCAATGTCATATAAGAATTCTTCATGTTTTCTCTGTATTGCCTAGTTCTTTACTTAGGATCTGAACTGTGAGATGGGCTAAGTTTAAGTCTCTCAATTGATTTAAGAATCCTTAGATTCCTAAAGCTCAGCTGGGAGGACCAGTCTGCAAAAGCCAGCCCTGCAGCCATCAAAGGCACAGGATCCCAGCCCTCCACTCCACTGCTGAGAAAGAAATCCTCCTGGAAAGGGCTACTGCCCTGTGGGGACCACACCTCCTCACCCTGTACAGAGAGCTGGTCTGACCTGCTGCTTGGCTTCCCGACAGCTGTTCCTCTCCAGGGGGATACTGCAGGCAGCAGCCAGTGCAGCCATGAAGAGGTCTGCCACACATGGGCTCTGGTCTGACTTGGCCTCCATCGCTGCACCTATGCAGGGGCAGAGCTTGGGAGTCATGTGCTGAGGGTGTTGAGAGGCAGCAGGATGAGGTTGGAGGGCAAGAGAGGAAAAGCTTATGACCTGAGGAGGGTGAGATCTGAGATTAAGGGAGAGAAGAGCCCTGGTCAGTAGGGGTCTGGGCAGATAAGCTTCAGCGACCTTCTCTGGCCAACAGCACTGCAATGGCTGCCAGTGCTCTGATGGAGCCCAAGAGCAAGAGAGAGAGAAGGGAAACCCCAGGAAGAAGTGGTGAGCTGCTACCATACTACCTCGCAGAGCAGGCTGCTCTGAGATGGATCCGTGAAGGAGTCTGTTCAGCAGTGGCTGATGCTCCTCTCGCAGGCCGGCGTAGAAGGGTGCAGAGATGGAGGGGTCTGTCGCATCCAGGCTCTCACAGAGCTGGGTGAAGCACTGGGGAAGACACAGGGGTTGCCACCACTGCAGAATGAATGTGGGAGGAGAGAGAGAAGGACAGCGCAGGAGGAGGCTGTGGCAGGACAGCAGAGATGGGAGAAGGACTCGTGCTGGAGCTTCAGGAACCTCCAACTGTCCTCTCCAGCCAGGTTACAGTATGGGACCCACATTTTGGCTGCATGCTGGCAAAGTGAGGGGTACACATGGAAGCATGTGTCCCTCCACACCTGTCACGGCCTGGCAGAGCACACCCAACGCATTACCCAAGAGCAAGAGCTCTTTTTACTCTTGCTTCCTCTGGCTTTAAAACATGCAGCCTGAAAAAAAAAGACTAAAAGCAAGATGATACCAAATACAAGCCTGTACACATCTGCTGCCTGAGTCACATGTGAATCATACTCCAACACTGTGCCCACCCAGCACAATCCCAGCAGCAGAGCTTTCAGTAGCAGAACAAGGGACACATCTGGTGAAGTGACACTGCCTGGCCACAAGGCCATTTTTGCCAGGGTGTGTATCAGGGACTGCACTTACTGCTGGCTCAGCCAGTAAAGCTACCCCAGAATGGCAGAGCCAGGGAAGGTGCCCCCTCAGAGACCTCCTTTCTGTATGCAATCCCCCACAATGGGTGAGACAGTGGGTGACACAGCCTGCCCTGACAAGAATGCATCAGACCCATAGCTAGGAGAAGGGTCCTCAGCCTGCATCCCCTCGACATTACAGAGACAGCCCCACACCTTCTGTCCCTACAGAAAAGGGTGGGGAGGAGGGAGATGGGGGCACCCTTACCAGAAGGCTTTGCTGGCAGAGTCTCATCTCACTGTCGACTGGCTCAGCCAGCAGCTCCGGCAGCAGGGCCAGGAAGCAACCAGCACTCTCCTGGAAGGTCTGCAGGCTGGGGGAAGCAGCAGGGGCAGATGAGAGTGGAGAATCATGGCCCCTGGTTACGAGGACAGAATCTGGCCAGGCCCATGTGGCCCTGGCTAATGGGGCAGGCAGCACACACTGACACTGTGAGCTTCTGTTAGTGGGCAGCACAACTGGACTGTGTGTCCACTGACTGTGGACAGCACAGCTGCCTTCCCCTTAGTTAGTCCCACTGAAGGAAAGCGCTCCTCTGTGAGCACAGTGATCTGGCATGAGGTGCTTAGTCCATGATGCTTCCCCTCAGAGATGACTACGGCTGCAGAGTATGAACACTACCCTCCTGCTTACTTCTGGGTCCCCAAAGTGGCCACAAGAGACCTCAGGGCACAGAAGGTTGTCCTTACCTGTCCTTTTGCCCACTCTCCTCCAGGCTGCGTTCACTGCTGAAATAAACTGTGGTCACCATGAGGAGGTCTGTCAGCACAGTGATACACCAGGGCTGCTGCAGGATCCAGAAAGAAACAGCAAATGGGGATTGTCTGCTGGCCATCCCCACACCACTGTGATAGGATCCTTCCCTGCCAGAACCTTTCCCTTCTCAAGGATGCTTGGAAGAGGCACCAGTCCTGTGAGCCAGCTCCAGCAGGACACCAGTGCCTCCTCAGCACCAGCACTCTGCAGGGCTGGAAGGAGCCTGAATTTCTCTGGGGTCCTATACCCACCTGCTTGGTGCAACCACTCTCCAGGATCTGCTTGGCTAAACACAGCAGGGACAGAGGCACATTCAGTTCTTGGCAGAAGTGGTCCAACAGCTCAGAGTCACACCGGGTAGCCAGGAGGTTCCCCACAACACGAAGCACAGGACGGAGATAGGAGGCACCCTCCAGCATCCCTTCCAGCACCTGGACATGGAGAAACCAGAAGAGCTCATAATTAGCAGTGGGTTTGGCCTCTCCATCAGCCATGGGGCAGCCCCTCAAGCATTCATGCAGGGGACAGCAGAGTCACAGATGGCAAGCTAAGTGCATAAGACAGCCCCAACTCCTGGAGAAGCAGGGGATCTTTTTGCTTGCTGGACTAAGGACTCTCGAGATGTTCTGAACCCAATCCTGGGGAAGAAGGCGGCATCCACGTCACCAGTTACAGCTGCCTGGGCCAGCTTACTGCCATCACTTACCTGCTGAGCAGAGTCTGCCAGGCAGTCCTTGACACGGTGCTGAAAGGCTGGGTCCCTCAGGAGGCTCAGAGGTGTGCTCAGCTGCATGGCCGAGGGCTCAGTGGCCTCAATCAAGTGCTGCCACTCCTCATCGCTCTCCAGCTCCTAGCCATGGAGGAGAGAGGACTGATGCCACAGACCCTGCCAGTCCCAGGGTCTCTGTACCAGCCCCTGGAGACTAGGTCCTGGTGTCCCCACCTCAAGACACTGTCTTACCTCACTCTCCAGGTCCACGGCCTCAATGCTGCGCCTGCCCCGGGGCTCTGCCCTGCCAGCATCAGGCTGTGGAGGGGCACCTGCTCCAGGAAACTCCCGCTCATAGTCTCGAGAGATGCTGTGCTGGCTGGCCAAGGAAACAACACAGTCAGTGAAAGACCTTTCTTCCCCCTTTTCCTCCTGCCCCAGCCTCAGCCCCCTCTCACCATGGGTCAGGAAGAGACTCCTCCAATTCCCACTCTGCCATGCTGCTCTTTCCTTGCAGGAGACCAGAGTTATTCTCACTGGAGGCAGCCAGTGGCTCCCCCTCCTCAGGGGCTGCCTTGCCTGGACCTGCTCTGGGTCTATGCCTGGGGTGTCCATTGCCAGAGTCCTTCATAAATGCATCACCTACCTTCAGTTGCCCCTGATGATGGCAGAGAAGTTTGGTCAGGGCAGTTAATCAGACAGATGAGTCTCCTAGACCCTACCACCCTGTGCACCCCACATCCCGCTTCGTGTGTCACTGACACCCCAGCCTGACCCATGTGTTTCCCCCAGGGCCCATTTCAGTGCTCCTCCTCTGCCCCGACTGTGGGACACAGCCAGGAGAACCCCCCAATTTCCTCCACCTTTTTCTGTGCCTCTTCAACCATCTTCTGCTGGGCCTTTCTCAGGATCCTGGACTGGCTGCTCCTGGGGACCAGGGAATGGGCTTGCTGTTCCTTCAGGGCCTGCAGTTCTGGGGACAGCTTTGTAGTAAAGGGGTTTGAGATCCCACACTCTTCTGTGTCATCGATCACTGGGGAGGTGAGAGGAGAACTTCATAAGCAGCTAGGAGTCAGTGCTTGGAGAAAGCTGAGAGGAGGGAGGCAAAGACTAGGATAGTAAAAATAGCAGGGAAGGGCAGTCCTCTGAGTCTCCAGGCAGTAGTAGGAGGAAACGGACCTGTCCAGTGCTGCAAAAAGCAGGTACTCACCAGTAACCCGTCCAGCAATGAATGGATGAGAGAGCAGCTCTGGCCATGACAGACGCTGGTGGGGGTCCTTCATTAGTAGTCCCTGAAGGAAGCTCTACAGGACAGCAGGATCACTGAGACATGTTCAGCATGCACCAGTGTGCACAGCGTACCCACCAGTCTCCCCCAGTGAGGGCACCCAGGAGGCCTGCCTTCCCTGCCTGGCTCTGGGAAATGAGTAGCTCTAGTGCTTAGGGCAGACAGGAAGACATTTCCCTTCCCAGTCCAGTAAATCACTCCTTTGCTGTTGGCCCCAGTTTCCCAGCTTATGGACAGCAGTGATAAGGGTCCACCTCCCAGGAGGCCCAGCTCTCATCCCTTGTCTATGTTCCAAAGTCCCTGTTAGGGGCATAAAAGCTAAGAGTGACTCACCAGGGCAGGAAGCAAGGCCAAAGCTGTGTTAACAGAGCTCACCCTTCACCCTTACCTTGAACACCGGGCTCATGGCCGTGGGCCATTTCACAGGGTCCTTGACGATGAGGCTGACAAGCTGGAAGATGCTGTTGGTGTAGAAGGGAGGAGTGCCCACAAACAGCTCGTACAGGATGCAGCCCACAGACCAGAGATCTGCTGTGTGGTCATACGGCCGCTCCTCCACCAGCTCAGGGGACATATACAGTGGGGTGCCCTTGATGGAGGTCAGCACCATGGTATGGATGCTCATGGCACGGGCAAACCTGCTCAGAGCAAAGCACAGATGGCAAGTTCAGGCTGAAACATCCATTGCAGCTCCCAGGGAGTTCCCTATGAGTTTACCAACACTTCTTCCCCCTGGAGGACAAAATCCTCCCTCTCTGCTTAACCTCTAAATATCCACAGAATCCGGCCCCCTTCTGCACCTCTTGGCTGCCTTAAGGCCAAGTGTCCCCCTCAAGCTGGCCCCCAGCACTCACCCAAAGTCACAGAGCTTGACGACACCATCTTTGCCCAGAAGGATGTTCTGGGGTTTCATGTCTCGGTGCAGGATGCGGTGGGAGTGCAGGTAATAGAGAGCAGAGACCAGCTGAGCAGCGATGGTCTGGACCTGCCAGAGACATGGGAGCCTCACACTGTGTCCCACGGTGCCACCCGCTGGCACAACCATGTCCCTAACAGCCTGGCTCCCCCAGTACCCCTGCTTCTGCTCTTGGCCTCTTGGGGCAGGGACCAACCCCAGCTGTGGGCCAGCAGTTCCTTGGAGTAGGCCAATGGCCAAGGCAGCAGTCTGGTGCTGTAGCCCTTGGAGAGGGAACAAGGAAACCAAGGTCCCTGCAGGACCCCACTGTCCCATGGTGCAACTTGGCTCCCTCTTCATCCTTTTCAGAAACTCTGCCAGGTAAAGCTCTGGAGGCACCCTCACCCTCCTGACACGTCCCGGCTCACAGCAGAGACCCTCTGCCTGCAGGCAGACAAATCCTGTTCTCTTCAACCTGCAAACGCTGCATGGCCACCACCATGACAGTCACCTGGTCCTCAGGCAAACTCCCATCATCCTCCAGGATCTGGAAAAGCTCCCCCTCTGCATAGTCAGTCACCACCACCACCTGGAGGGAAGAGCAGCATGGTGAGATCAGGCCCTGGGGACCAGGACAGAGCAGAGTAGGAAGTCTGAGGGGGGTGCTGGGTTGTCATTGTGCACAGTCCATCAGCTTGGGTTGGGACCTGGGATGGAAGAGAGCCCTCATGGCTGCACTGCAGCAAGGGCCTGGCACTTAGCAGAGGTCTTGTATCTTGTACAGCCAGCAAAAACAAGGGAAGAGGGAAGGATAGGACAAACCTAGAATAGTACTCCCAAACCCAGTGAATAGAATCACTCCCTTGAGCTTGTTTTGAATCTGCTGCCCAATTACTTTATTTCATGCCCTCATGCCCCATTGCACAGTCTTCAGTCCTTTTATCCTATTACCTCCACGAGAGTATAAATCAGTGAAAAGCCAGTCTCTGAAAAGACTGATGAGATGACTGAAGAGTCATCCTCATCCTGTAATCTTAAACCACTCATCTTGCATTCCCCTAGTCATCTCCTTCTCCTCTGCATATAACCTAGTGCAGCCCACACAGCACATCCCAGAGGGCTCTGAAAAACACTAACCAGACCCTGGGATGGTGTCACCAGCAACTCCTGAGAAAAGATGTCCCTAGGACAGCAGGGGCCAGCCCTTGTTCCCCTGGCCCAGTCGAGCAAAAGCATTTGCCCAGAGTAGTCCCCTTCACCTCCTTATCAGTCTCAAAGCTGTCAAGCATCTGGATGATGTTGGGGTGATGGAGGCCTCTCATGATCTCAATTTCTCTTTGCAGGTTCTTCAGCTCCTTCTCAGACCGCCCCACCTTGGGGATGAACTTCAAGGCCACCACCTTTTCAAGTAGGAAAAGCTGGGATTAGATCAGGCTTCGGGTCAAGCCCACCCTGGCAAAGGCTGCTTTTAACCGTAATCGGACTCTGCACTTTCCAGCTGAGCACACTGAACAAGACATTTGTTGAATGGACCACTTGGAGCTGGGGCTCTCCTCAGGTCCTTGCACATAAGTACTGGTGTTCACACTACTTTTCACACTGGCATTTAAGGCAAAGGTCAGTGAACACAGATAAAATCAGGACTTCCAGAAACATGGGACAGAACCTAGAGATGCTGGTGGACAGCAAGCCTAACACAAGCCAGCAGTGTGCTCTGGCAGTGAGGGGCACTGGCAGCACCCTAGGCTAAAGAAGCTGCAGGGAAGCGATTATTGCCCTTTATTTGGAACCTTCTAGACCACGCTGGCAATATTGTGGCCAGGTTTTTGGCCCACAAAGACATCAGGAGTTGGCCAGGTATGTCAGCAGAAACCCGAATCAGTGCTGAGTCCCAAAGGCCTGGCACAGCCTTAGAACCAAAGAGGCACCAGAAATCAGCCCCCGGCACCACAGAGCAGACCTCCGGTCCTTTCCCCTCACCTGGGCGCTGTGTTTCCGGCGCCCCTTATACACGCGCCCGAAGGAGCCTTCGCCGATCATTTCCAGGACGTGGTACCGCTCCATCTCTCGGGCCGGGGCCGCTGAGCTGCCGAGGCAAAGCGGATGGTGAGGAGCAGCGCTTCGCCCTCTCTCCCCCCGCCACGGGCTGCCATGGGGCACCGGCTGCAGCCGCGATGGAGCCGGGCAGTGCCAGCGCTGGGAAGGCAGCGCTGCACCCCTTGCGATCCCAGATCCCGAGGGACGGGGCTTTCCCACTCACCGCGGTGCTGCACCGGGGGCCGGGTCCCTTGGGCGGGTATCGCCCTCCCCACTCCCACGCCAGGCTCCGTCCCTGCCCACCGGCTCCAGGGCAGGACAAGCCCCGAGCCCTCGGCCGATGTCCCCGCAGCAACCCTGGGGTTGGAAACGGGCCGCTGCCCGAGCCCTGCAGCAATCCCGCGGTGGGCGAGACGGGAGTGGCCCCGCCCCGCTCTGCTCCTGCCCGCACACCCGCGCCGCGCGCCGTCGCCTGGCAACGCGCTCCGCGCTTCCGCTTCCGGCTCCGGAGCGAGCGGGACGATGGGCGGCGGCCGGGGAATCAGGCGGAGGCGGCCGGACTGGTAACAACCCTCGCACCTTCCCCGGCCCCCCGCGATCCCGCACCCCCGGCAGTGGGGCCGTCTGACCCCTGCCCCGTCGTCCCTGCAGGGCGCCTGCCTGCCGGAGCTGGAGGTGCTGGAGTCCATAATACCTGGGAGGAGCTGCGGGTTGGCGCGGGGCCGCGGCAGGTACGTCCGCGTCCCACATCCCCGGCCCGGCCCGGCCCCGCGCCGCCCCGCTCAACCCGGCCTGCCCTCCTCCAGGTGGGAGCCCTCTGGAGATCAGCAACATCCTGCACCCCGCCAACGCCGAGGACCAGGACTCCCAGTACGTCCCGCTTCAAACCCTGGTGCTCTCCGTGCCCCCGCAGGTAGGCTGCCCGCCCCCTCGCCCCTGCTCCTCCCCGCCCAGGGCCTCTCCACCTTTCCTGTTGTGCTTTGGGCGTTTCTCTTTTTTTTTTCCTAGTATCCTAATGAAACTCCGGAGATCTCCATCAGGAACCCGCGGGGCCTGTCAGATGAGCAAATTCAAAAGTGAGTGCCAGGAGGGCAGGGAGAGGGCAGTCCTTTCCTCCAGAGATCTAGGAGGCAAAACTTATGGAAAACTCTTCACTAAATCACATGACATCCCATGTCTGGTTAGTGGATGGATACAGGTCCCTAAATCTCTTTGTCCTAAATCTCATGGGAGCCACTGCTGCTGAATTTGACACCGAGGGGTCCACCCTGTAGTTGTTGCCCTGTGGTCCCCTTGAAATGTAATCTGAATCCCTGGCGTCTTGGAAGCTGCTGGTCCTGCTCTGACAGAGGTGGTCCTTGGTGCAGTGGAATGTGTTGCCAGCGGCTCCCACCACACCTGCTCAGGGACTGCCATCAGATAAACAAAGCCTGGGATTCACCAAAACTGAGCTCAAGCTGAGGCCGTCAGCAAACCTGCTCCTTCAAGTCCTGTCAAAGGCTTCCTGTGCACCAGCTTGTGGGGAGCCAGGACAGCACATGAATATGTGTGTGCACTTGTGCCCATCCTGTGCTCCAAGCAAAGCCTGAAGGCCAGTGCTCTGTTTGTTCCTCATGTCACCATGGCGGGATGGCAGGTATGTGGGACAGTGAAAAGGTGTAGCTAAATTTGTGTTAAGCATTTCTGCTGCTTTGCTGTAGGATTTCCCAGACCCTCAGAAGTGTTGCTGAAGCCAGGCTGGGGACAGAGGTGCTCTATGAACTCATTGAGGTGAGAGTTGGGGGAAGTTGGGGGTTACCAGCCACAGACACTGGTCTCTGGCTGCCCGAGGGGTCGGGAGAGCCCTGAGCACATGTGCAGGCCAGTGAGTAAAATGTTTGCTTTAATGCTTCCACAGAAGGGGAAGGAGATTCTCACTGACAACAACATTCCTCATGGACAGTGTGTGATCTGCCTTTATGGATTTCAGGTAGGCATGTGTCTCCTGGCCCTGCAAGCTGACTGGGAAGTGAGGCAAGAGAATGGGGAGCCTGGGGTTGGGATATCAGCCTGGGGCCAGGGTGCACCCCAGCAGGCCCCTGCCCCCATTCTGTGGGTGATCCGCCTGCACGAGGGCCTTCGGAGGGCGATACACGCTACTCTCCCCATCGGCCTGAAATAATCATCTACAGAAATGGCACAGGGGCAGCAAGAGATGCCAGAGCATCTCCAAAGAAGTGGGTAGGGTCTGAGGATAGTTGCTGGTGTATCTCAGCTTCCCTGTATAGGTCATACCTCACCTGGAGTTCAGCACACAGGTGGTCAGGAGGGACTGGAACGCATCCACGTGTGATGGATACTGAGGTCTGTGAGGGCCGGGGAGCTGATCTTGTGTGAGTTGCAAGGAAAGTCAATGCCTGCCTAGGAAGGAGAACACATCAGATGGGAAGATTGCTGCTTACACAGAAACACACACAGAGAAATCAGTCACAAAAACTTTGCATCATGACATTAGGAGTGTTTCTAACACTTCAAACAAGGAGCAGCATCCCAGTAATTGCTAAAGAAGTGGAGATGAAGCTGAGCAGATGTTAGGTGGCTGTAGTCAGCACTAGTTTCCCACTGCCACCACTGACATGGAAGTGAAAACCTACCTCAGCTGGGGAGGCTACACAACCCTGTGCTAAGAAACCCTTCAAAGCTGCCCTTCTTGACAGGAGAGAGAAGCCTTCACAAAGACCCAATGCTACCACTACTTCCACTCCCACTGTCTGGCCCGCTATGCCCAGCACATGGAGGAGGAGATCCTCATGCAGCAGGAGGAGAGAGATCAACACCTTTCACCATCTCCCAAACAGGTACAGGCCCTGGGCCCCCTCCCCTTTCCCCCTGCGCAGACCTTCATGACATCTGTATCACCCTCTTTGGGACATGGAATGAGGGCTAGTGTGACCCGGCAGCACGGTCAGTTTTGTACCTGTGCTGAGAATCAGAGCAGGGATTAGACCAAGTGATCTTCAAGGACCCCAAAGATGTTGGTTTATTGGATCTCTGGGTCAGTGCATGCTGTGGGAGGGGGCAGGGGGTTGCATTTTTGGACTTCTGGAACCACAGGAGTTAGAAAAGAGAGCTCCTTTCCTAGTCCTTGAACTGCAGGGGTTTGCAGCAGGGTGAACACGATCACCTGCATTCTGGGATGATAAAATCTGCCTGAGCAGGTGCTGGAACAGTTTTCAGCTGCAGAGCAAACAGTGGAGCTGAGCATGAAACCAGTCAAACGCTCCTTCCTACAAACCCTTTCAAAGAGGTGCTGCATAGATGACATGCTCCACTTTGAAGCAGAGAAAAATAGATCCTAGGCTAAGGAGGACTGAAGCCATAGGTGCTGACAGGGGTGGTTTGTACAGCAACCAGCTGCTGTAGCACAAGTCCCAGCGTGCCACCTTCCATAGCAGTCATTGAGACCCAGGCTGCTTTCACACTGCTGGAACTCCCCTGGGCTTTCCTACCCTGGCAGAAGAGGGGCAGGTTTATCAGGCAGTGCATGACCTGAGTCGCAGACAGGGTTTGCTGTCACCTTTTGCCTCCCCACAGGAAGTCGGTGTGCAGTGCCCTGTCTGCCGGGAGACCCTGGTCTATGATCTCTCTGCTCTGAAGGCAGCACCGCCCCCACAGCACCCTCTGGTAAGAGATGGGGGCTCACCTGCCCAGCTGTGCAGCTACCACTGGGTAGCTTCAACTGTGACACTGTAACGGATGAATGAATGTGCCCTCTCAGGTCCTCCCAGATGTCCTATCCAAAGGGTAGCTCACAGAGAGCAGGTTCAGTTGTATAGCCCTGAGGTGAGCAGATGTGCTGGAGGAGAGGTGATTCTGCCATGGGGCATGTCCCTGCACTCATTGGGATATAATCAGGTCAGGAGAGTGACCTGATGGTAGCTGCTCTGCATCCCGCCCCACAGCAGGACATCCCAAGGCAGTCACTGCAGAAACAGTGGGTTTGCACTGGGATGTTCTGCCTCTGTCCAGGGATTTCCCGTGCATCTGTAGGCCTGGCAATGTGGCAAAGGGAAGCAGGTGCCTGGCACTGTGCAATCAAAGGAGGGTTTAGGGAGTAGCTCCTAGCCCTGCTACTGCCTATCCCTGCCAAGTGTTGAGAGCCCTTACCCTGCCTTGCTTTCTGCCACTCAGGAGCCATACAGGCCAGATGCCAAGATGCTGCAGCACCAGGAAGAACTGCGCCTAATTTTCAAGAGACAGCAAGAGAAAGGAGGTATCATCGACCCCGAAGCAGAGAGGAACCGCTATTTCATCAGCCTCCAGGCGGTATGGCACTGGGGGCAGAGAGCTGCCGAGGGCACCCTGGGCTGCAGGACCAAGCACTGTCGTCTGCTGTGGGACACCCCTGTCCTTTTCTTCACCAGTGGCCTCTTTCTTTCAGCCTCCAGCTGCTGCGGATCCAGGCCAAGCAGCTGCTGCCTCTGAGCTGCCGGTGAGTGCCAGCACTGCAGATGTGCCCCAGCCGCCCGGCCAAGCCTCGACTCCAGAGCCAGCTGGGGCATCGGAGGCCAGGGCAGAACCTGGGCGGCCTGAGAGGCCTGCTGTGCCCAGGGAGCAACCGAGCAAGAGGGAGAAGCACAGAGGGGAGAGGCCAGGCCTCAGAGGCCAGGGCAGGCAGCCATGCAGTGGCTTGCAAGAACCGGGAGAAGAAGCCTGTCATCCACTCCATGGCTCCAGGGGGCCCAGGGGCTTCAGCCAGAGACCAGAACGGAGACCTGCTGGAAGGCACAATCAGGAGTTTCCAAAGCCTCACAGTAGAAGTAGGGCTGCTCCCTTGGCTGAAAGAAAGGATTTGTGCCCTGAAGATCCCTCACCAGTAATGGAGGCTGTGGACTTGAAAGAGGAGCACTGTGATGTGGACAGATGGAGTGCAGAGAAGGGGGCTGAGACCCGGGGCAAGAAAAAGGAGAACCTGACATTCAACCACAGCGACCACAGAGCAGCTCCCAGCTGGCAGGGTCACCACAGGCCCTGGGATTGTGGGAGGTGGGAAAGGTCCAGAGTTCAGGAGCGTGGTTCCTACCCCAGAGCATCAAGAGGGCGAGGGGTGTTCAGGCCCAGTGGACATCGAGAAGCCCATCTTGAGAAAGAGAGTGGCTCCTAGCAGGAATGATGAGGGGCTGGGCTGGGGGGAAGGAAGGGCTATTTCTGGGGAGAACAGTGAAGGCTCTGGTAGAGCAGTAGCAAGCAGACACCATACCCCTTAACAGGGAGGAGGCAGATGGCACATGGGACATACCTAGGCAGTGTCACCAGGGGATGAGCAGAGTGAAGCATCCCGGCGTGAGCAGCTGGCTCTCACCAACATTGGAGAAGCAGAATCTTGACAGATCATATCAGCCTTGATCTCAGAAGACCTAGGGGACAGGTAGCCTTAAATGGGGACCTCCAGCCATCATCCCTATATGTGAGCTGCCAAGAAACGTGCACACCTACAGAGTGAGTGGACTGAGCATGGTGCCATGGCAGAGCCAGAGTTGGGGTAAGATCTTCCCTGGAAGCCAGTGTCCCAGTGGAGCCATGGTGGTGCCAAGTGATGGGCCTGTGCCAGGGCAGCAGCCTGGAGCACAGCTCAGCTTACTCTGTCCTCCTTTCCTTCTTGGAGCACTTTTTCAAGTGTTGTCCCTGTCCCTTGGAGACAACGTGGTTTCTCCTGCAGCCCTGGCCGATGTTCAGCTGATGGGCTTGGCCAGGCATGTCGTTTGTATGCAGGACACTTCCCAGTCCCAGACAGGAGATCCAAGTTAAGCTTAAGTCAACACGTTGGCTGCAGCTTCAGCGTGTCTCCCACTTCCCCAGGAAGCCTGTCTCTCAAAGCACTTTGCTTTGTGATGTGTATCTGTTGGAATCCCCCTCTTAAGGCCAGGCTGTCTTGGCACTTCCAACAACCTGAAGACATGCCCCAATACTTTAGATACTGCTACCCTCCTTTCATCTTCAAGCTGATCTTATTTCAAAATGAGGATTTGCTGTTTAAACTAACTTGGTGCAGTTCCATCTGCTTCTCCTTCACAAATTTAAATGGTGTCTCACTCCAGAGCTGTGAAGGGCAATCCCAAGTCTCTGAAGTGGGACACTATTAAATTAATTCACTGGGTCTTCTCCAGAGCCTGCTCCCTTTGTTTTCTCTGCCCACTTGCTCCTGTTCATTGCTATTTGGAGCAAAGGTGTTGATCCCTGGTATTTCTCACTCCCCTCCCTGCTCCCTGCAACCAGAGCCAGGGCAGAGACCTTCCCCTGGCACTTCTGGGTGGCAAGAGGGCTCCCTGCTTTGCCTGGCTCAGTGTAAGCTCTTCGCCTCACCTGGACAGTACTGATTCCTTCACACTTGTTTGTGCCTTGTCCCCCACCTCACCTCTTTTTTGGCCACATATGTTGTTTCTGTCTTCCTCCTGCTGAGTGCAAAAATAGCAGTGCCACAATGAACTTGCCAGAACTTCATGTGAGATCCCCAGAAAACCAAAGGCTGTGTGTACTGGGAAGGCATTTGGCAGCACACACATCTACCTGACTGATCTTTGGCACATGAAGGGTGCACAAACCTCTCTCTGGGCTGGGTCCTCCTTACCTACTGCCCTGCTTACTCTATGCCTGGCCTTGACCTGAAGAGGTTGGTTTAACCTGCTGCCCAAGAACCTTCTGTGCTTAAATTTCCAACACTGCCCTACTTTCAACCCTAATGCTCTAAAAGCATGACTTTCTCCCTCCTTGGTCTGAGCCCACACAACCCATCCTGGGCTTGGTGATCTGAGAGCCAGATGTTGTGCCCTGCTGAGGACAAGGGCTGAGCACTTGCTTCCTGAAGACAGCCCTAATTTTAATTCAGTGCTCTCTCTGTCCTCATTCAGCTGGTTTCTGGGGGAACGGCCTGCCTGCACTTGGGTGAAAAGGTGTAAACTTTACCTGACATTGGTGCTTGTCTGCTGCCTCCTGCCTTTACTTGTGAAACTGCTGTGCTCCAAGAAAGGCATTTGATTGTGTCCTGAAAGAAACACGGAAGATCTCTGCCCTTCACAGCAGCTGAAGCTCCTTGGCTTCCTCTGGTGAGCGAGGCTTACTCTCAGCAGGAAAGCTGCTGTGCCATGTTTGGAGTAAGGGAATTCAGCCATGGAAATTGGAGTGAGGATTGGTTAACTTCAGTCAAATGCCAGATGTGTTAGAGGGAAGGGTTTTTTTCCTGGGAGTAGGGATTTAGGATGGGCCCTCTCTGACTCACTGCTGTCAGCCTGGAGCAGAGGGCATTTTTCAACAGTATGTGGAAATGAGTTTGGGCTAAACAAACAAAACCTCTAGGTCAGAGGGGAGGAATGGAGCCTGCACCCTGACCTGGGTCCCCTTGCTTGGTGTCTGCCTGTGTCACCCACCTACCTCACAAGGCTGTTGTGAGGCTTTAACTGGCAAAAGCCCCAGGCTGGGCAGAAAAGCACCGGCAGCGTGTGTAGCATTAACACTATTAAAAGCAAGCAGTGTGGTTTGATGTTGGCTGTGCTCTTGTGTGGTGGCATCGGGCCCTTCAGGCTCCCCTTCACCACCCCACATCTTCCCCAGCAACTGTGAGACATTTACCAGTCACTCACTGGCCAGTTTTGACCCCCAGCTTTAAGGGAAGAGGGCTGGATTTGGGCACCTAGCCTCTATAAGATGGCCAAACACAGGGTTTGAGATGCCAACAGCAGAATCCTGCTCCAGGAGCCACCCCTCCACCGTACCCACAGGACTAACCTTTCACTTGCAGAAACATTTGTGTAAGTCTGAGTTTGCACCAAAGCAGCACCTGTTTGCGCCAAAATCCATCCAGGTGCCATTGGTTGGGCCCCTTCGTATTTCCATGTGCTCTTGATTATGTCCTTGGCCCCAGAGGATAGAGCCAAGAGGAGGGCTGAGCAGTTTGGGTTTGGCCTGGAACCAGCTCCCACAGCCCCATTTAGGTGATGGAGCCCCCAAAACTGAATACAGGACTGGCTCAGGGGAAACTGATTTACAAGATTCTGAAAAGGGGCTGGGATGGGACAGCTCTTGGGAAGATACTCTCTAACTGACCAAAGCCTCTCATCTGCCCTCACATACATCCAGGGCCCCACATCTCTGGCAGGAGGGACAGTCATGCCCACCAAGCAATGATATCCAAGCAGATCTGCGGCTTAGCATCACAACTCATCAGGGCAGGAACAGTGGCACCAGCCTGGAGTCTAGGGATAACTAGCTGTCTCTTAGGAACTGCTTTTTTTCTGAAACACTCTGGATTTGCAGTACTGGCTGTGCCAGGCTCTGGTCAGGAGGGCTCTGAACCAGCAGCTGGATAAGTGGGGCAACTATCACGAAAAGGGACCAGAGAGACAAGAGCCATGTTGTGCATTTCACAGAGGATATTCACAAACCAGTGAGACCGTTGTCCTTTAAAAAACCAGCAGCTTTTAGCAGTGTAGCACCCCAATATCCTGCCCCAAGGAAACCCCCAGGCTGACCCACAAGGAAGAGGATTCACATCCAAGAGTGTTAGCAGCTTACAGAAATCCCAACATGAGGCACACACTGGTGAGCAGGGCTGGTGCAGTAGCACACAAATTTGGGGAGCAGCAAGAGCTGATTCCCTCTCCCTGCTGCAAGGCTGGCAGCTCTGACTCTCCAAAACAAGGCCTTGGAGGGGTAAAGGTGAACAGAGACCTGGCCTGTGCATCTGGGCAGCTTCATGGCATCTCTGGGATGGTCACATCTTTGTCCCAGTCCTCTCAGTGTTGCTGGCCCCAGGTCACAGCAGGATAGAGCTTATGTTTGAAATGGCTCCTTCAGGGTCCATCTTGTAGAGCATGAAGTGGCCCTGCACCTGGGCAGCACTGATCTGTTTGGAGACGGCCAGTGCCTGCTCTGCAAACCGCTCGGCTGCAGCCACGGGCTGCTCAGGATAGAAGCGCTGGAACATGCAGGAAAGCTGCCAGTGGGAGCAATGGCCCACATACTGCTTGAGATCCACACGGCCAGGACGCACCAGGGCTGGGTCCAGCCTGTCAAGAGACAGAGGGGGGCCTGGAAAACCTGATCAAAGCATCTCTGCAGGGTGGGTCCTGCAGGAACCCCCCGTCCACCCTAGCACAACCCGTGTCCTGTCTGCAAAGTGCTGTGAACTGTGAGATGGTAAAGGGAAGGAGCAGGTTCATCCCTAGGGAGACTGAGGGGAGAAATCAACCCAAAAAAAAAGAGAGAGCAAGGGAAGGGCTGGCTCTGGAGAAGGACAAACAAGTCCTGTGAAACAGTTCTGCCCATCTCTGTCCCATAAGCAACCTCTGAACAACCCCCTAGGACAGCTCGGTCTGGAGTGAGCCAAGCCTGCGATAGCGCAGTGGCTGAGCAGGCTGAGCAGGTGCTGCGAGCCCAGGCTGCATCCCACCAACCCAGTGGGCTGCACATGGGGCCAGCGTTTCACTCACAGCATGGCCACAACCCCAAAACCTGCAGCTCCCATGGGCAGGAAGCTGGTACCACTCCTGAATGGAATAACCATATTCTGAACAGCAAGGAAGCATCTGAGGCTCCAGCAATCCTGGTTAGCAATCAAGGGATTTGCATCCGAAAGGATGATTTGGGAAACCCAAAGCCCCATTCTTCCTGCTGGAGGATTCAAAGAGCCCCACATAAAGCCCAATAAAAGGGAGCAAGGTTTTCCTGTGCCACCCACCCTATTCCTTCCCAGAGGGCAGCTCTGACCTGTCCACATAGTTGGTGGTCATGAAGACAATCCTGGCCTCTGTGGATGCCACGCCGTCCAGCGCGTTGAGGAGGCCGCTGAAGGTCAAGCGCCCCATGCCTTGGTACGCAGCAGGGTCTGGGAACAGCGGAGTCTGAGATCACAGCCATCGGCCACTGACCCTGCGCAGGCTTGCAGGCCACCTTCCTATCACCTAATGCCAAGCTCCCCACTCCCTCCCTGCTCCAAGGCTGACCCTCTGCCTGGCTGGTAGCACATTCACCTCCCCTGCCCACATGCACCCATGGAAATCCAAACAGAGAACAAGAAGGAAAGCCACCTTCTCCCTCATACTGAAAATAGCTAGGCAGAAGAAGGATCTTTGCCCGAGGATAAAGGACCCAAATTTCTTGTATAGCCTAGGCTATGAAGGTTATATCTCTAAGGCCCTGAGGCCATAGAAATGCCCGCTCCTGGTTTCTGCTGGTGTAGCAGAGCAGCCCAGAGTCCAAACTTTTCCCCAGTACAGCTGGCAAACCTCCCTCCAGCTGCTGGCCCAGAAATGGGGGCAGTGCTCACTCTCAGCGGCCAGGTCCCGGCTGATGAAGGCAGCGTCCACATCCTCCAGCAGGATAATGCTCTGCTGTGGTGCCACGCTCAGGAGGTGATTGAGCCGGTCGTCAGAGAGGCTGTGGTCACTAAGGCTCAGCAGGCAGATACTGTACTCCAGCTCCCCGGCCAGGGCTGTGCTGGGAAGGACACAAACCACAGGGGTGAATCACAGTGGGAAAGCACAGAGCCAGCAGCAGGGGAGAGGGCAGAAGTGTCCTTTCCCAGCAGGGATCAGATCTGAGGGGGGTACGGGAACACCTGCTCAGCTTGCTGTGCAGCACTGTGCAAAGCAAGGGCACAAAGGGCTCGTAACCCTGACCTGTCACAGTGCCAGCAAAACACCAGGCACCACACATGAGGCACAGCCCACTCCTCTTTCCGAACCCAAGCTCATTCACACCTTCTTATCTGAGGCTGCTGTGCCCCAGAGCAGGCAGCTGGTGGGAAAACTGCCGTTCACCAGCTGGCAACACTCACATGAAGCTGCTTTTCCCACAGCCAGGAGGACCGTACAGCAGGTAACCTCTTCGGTAGGGGATTCCTAGGAAGACAGTGTTCTTTTAGGATAACCAGCTGGATTGCTCTGAGCTCCCTTCCCTCAGAGCCACAAGGCTTTGCTAATTGAGCACACATAATCACGCATAGAGGATACACCAAGGGAAGGCAAGCAGCAGGGAAAAATCTCTCCACAGCTGACTCCAGAGAGAACCACAGGCATTCTGCCCCACCCCACATGGTACAGAGGACACCACACCAGAGCCTTGCCTCTGTCACTGTACCACTTGGAATTGCTGATGAACTCCTTCACGTCCTGAACCAGCCTCTCCGACACGCCCTTCTCCAGCACCACGGAGCTGAGGGGCCGGCGGCGGCGGGGGAAGCCGAACTGCCGCCACTCTGCTCCCACGGCCGTGTACATGAGTGTCTTCCCCTCCTGCTTCTGCAGTGCCAGCTCCCGGGCTGAGGAGAGAGGCAGAAGGGACAGCTGCCAGGGAAGGAGATCTCCCATGAAGCCCTGGGCATCTCCAGGGAGTAGGCTGTTCCCAGCAGGACCCCATGCAGTTCCCCTACAGACCTTCCTGGAGGATGTTGAAGAAGATCTCCCGGTCGGTGCCCAGCGCAGTGAAGGTGACAGACTCCCAGGGGGTCCCTGTGTTCAGGTCAATCACCTGCGTCTCCCGGCTGCGCTCAATGCGAATCCACTTCCTGCGATACCTGGGGTGGGAAGACAGGGTTGGGGTGCAGTGATCCAGCACCACCCAGCTGTGACCAGCCTGGCTCATCAATCAAGAACATTTATCTCAGGTAAGGAAATCACTTCACACTGCTGAGTACAGGCTCCTCTTGCTACTTCCTGCCCTAACCCAGACCCAGGGAGGAGGCAGGATCCTCTCCAGTGCCTCTACAGGCCCCCCAAGCTGCCAAAGTGAGGCTCAATCCCCACACAGGTTTCCCCTGCACCCCCTTACCAGATGAAATGATTCCCGATGCTGGGGACAAAGTCAAACTTGGTGCTGACACGCCCACTCTCATGCTGCAGGTATGATGTCTCCACACTGAGGTGCTGTGTGTGCTTGGCATGGTGGGACACCCAGTTCAGCAGCCACTGGTAGCTCTTGTCCTTGCTGGGCACCTCCAAGGTGATCATGTAGTGGCGCCTGAAAGCCACCAGCCCAAACTGGGCCCCTTTACGAGCCACTGCCAGGACCGTGCCCACCCCGACAAGGCCAAACCCAGCTCCGAAATATGGGTTGTCCTTCAGGGCTAGGACAAAGTCAGAAAAGGGCATCGTGGGAGGTTAAGCAGCTCCTTTCCACAGCATCGTTTCTGTGCTCCACAAACCAACCTGCGTGGAAAGACTGAGTGGCAGGAAAGAACACAACGGATTGCCTGCATTTCCCTGGCCTTTGTCGTGGCCAGTTCTTAAGGTGAAAGGCTGCCTAGCACATCTGGATCTCCCACATCTGTGCTTATTACCAGGGGTTCAGAATGCTGCTGGCTGCAGGAGCTCCCTCCCTCTCTGCAGGCCACTGGGCCAGCCAGGCAGGAGGGGGCCAGGAGCTGGAGGCTCTCCAGCAAGCACGGGAGCATGTGTTGCTTCTTCAGCCAAGACAAGAAGCTCAGAGTTTTACAGGGTTTTATTCTTTAAACAACCAGAGATCGTGAGCACTGCAATTATTTAAGGTTTATTGTTCGAAAAAGCTGAAGCGCATCTCCAGGCCGAGCCGAGAGCCGGGTGGGAACGGCCACACGACTGCGGTGGAAGCAGCACCTCCATGTCTGGATAACACCCGCATGCTCAGGGGGCCTGAAGCTTCTCCAGCTCCCTCAGCAGGTCTGTCAGGTACAGGGGACGAGGGGGAGCCTCCCTCGGCAGACGCACAGACCCGCTCCGCTCCCTCACGCAGCATTCCAGCTCCCCCAGCACAAGGCGTGACCTTCCTCTTTCCCAGGCGTCCCGTGGGCAGGGTCCCCCAGCCCCGCGGCAGGAGCCCCACCGT